TATATTCATAATACAACCCCCGCCCCCAATTGTATCGTAACTGTAACATCTCAAACGACTTGAATTGTCACATATTTTTTATTGATTTTCAACCAGCTTGGCATGCATCATTAGATCCCTAGATTAGATTATTTTAAACCGGTAAACTACTGGAAAGTTCAAAACAAACGTTTGAAACAAACGTTTGCAAGTCCTGACCGACGTACTGTAATTACCTCACCGACCAGCTGTTAATAATCTGTTTGTCACGGACTACGTGACTTCGCCACTTTCTGTGGATTTTTTACCTGCAACTAAGCGACAAATAACATAATAACATTTTGATAGACTAAGCAGTTAGTCAACTATTAGGGGGCAGCCCTAATGAAAAGAGACACTGTCATCGGTTTCAAGGTAGCCAACTACTCTAACTAGCCATGCTCAGTAATACTGTTTGTATGACCTATATAACAGTGCCTGAAAAGTGTGTAGGATCGTTTTGTTCATAATTTTTAACATTACAGATAGTTCATGGGTAAAAATACACCCTGATATGTATGAATAAAATGGTCAACTAAACAATTCTGTAATTTAATTTGCAGAAAGCAAATAATTGCTCAAAATTATGCCACAATGCAAAATAATAAGCATAATTTCCATTTCCAAAAGCACAAACATAACATTTGAAAAGTTACTGGAAACAGTATATTCACCGTTTCTGAACATTTACCTTTAAATTGTAACATATTTGGATTATCATGTGTAGGATTATGATGATGATGTGTCAGCCAATGTGTTATTATAGCAAATAAATAGACACATTTGCTAATTTAGTTGTTATAGCACAAAATGCAAACTATTCAAAGAGGTGTAAGATGACCTGGAGTAAGAATATAATTTTGATATAGTATAATTCTTATTATTATTGATATTTTTAAAAGTGTAATATAAAATACTAAATCAACTATTATATTTAAAATTTTATTTTGACAATTTCATTGAATAATTGAATAACTGACAACAGACAAAGCAGAATCCCTGTAAAACAGGTTCATCTGAGAGTTAAAAAAGAGGCACATAAATATTAACAATGAACAAATATCAAGTTCAAGTTAGTTTTATTTCTAGAGCACATTTAAGCATGGAACAGGCCGACCAAAGTGCTGCACAACAAACAATAAAATACAATAAAGAGAGAAAAACTGTAAACAAGAATAAAAACCATGCAAAACAAACAATAGCTACATATTAAAGGCCAAAGAGAAGAGATGGGTTTTAAGATAGGACTTGAACTCAGATAAAGTGGATGCCATTCTAATGTGAACTGGTAAGTTGTTCCAAAGAGTGGGACCAGCCACTTCAAAGGCTCTAGATCCCCTGGTCTTAAAGTGAGTTCTATATATATCACTTGCCCCTGATGTTATCAAATCCTAGAAATGCACCTGGTGTAGATTATATGACAAAATGCTTAAACTTATATATGATTATATGATGAAATTAGTCTATAAAATAAAGATTAGCAGATTTTTGAATCCCATTCTCAGTCACTCTATATGATGAAAGAGTGAATGCTAAAGACCATCATCTCTGTGTGAACTGGTAATTCTGTTGAATATTAAACATCTTCATGAGTGAATATGAATATGAGCACTGAAA